GAGAATCGGCTTATTTGGAAGACTTCCACCACTACCTGAAAACTGGTTCAGCGAATGGTGGGAACAGTGGCTTTTGGCCTTTCCTCTCCCAGTCTCTGGCAGAACCAGGAGGTGCAAATGCAGGTGTAGTCCCTGTGAGAGCGGCTGGCAAGGCCCTGAAATCTTGACTCTTTTTCTTTCTCCCAGGCTGAGCAGAGTTTGAACATAGCAGTGCTGCACTTTGCAGTGAGGAGCTGTTCAGTAAACACTGGGCCACCCAAACCCATGTTCTCCATTGCTCCACAATCAGTTTTTCCACTCAGTTGCAGTCTCTATTGACAGTGGTGAGTTTTTGATGTTGTCTGAGACTTTTCCGGAGGACAATAAATGACAGTTAATAGCAGAGAAAGTGATGCCACAAGAACATTTTTTATCAGTTGGGCAAGACTTTGGGTTGAAGGGTAGGCAGAGTACGGGCAGGGATTGGAACCAGGGTTTAAACACACAGCCTGAAACTGGGGCCTGGGCTGGGAGTCCAGTCCAAAAAGTTTGGCACTACTTAAACCTATCTTGGAGCTGCAGCACAGGACAGTCGGGGAGCAGCTGTACAGGCAGGCTATGGAAAGGGTCTCCTGTGTAGGGAGTGGGCAGACCAGGGAGAGCCCTCAAGCTCTATGTTTATGTGGAACACAGGCCTCAAATTTATTTGGAGTAAGTGGTCTCCAAGCACAAGTGGTGTGAAGGGGTTGTGATCACTCTACCAGGCCATGGGTTGGCTTAGAGGCCCAGGAGTGTCTCTGGAGGGTGAGGAGGACAGTGCTGCAGATCTCGGCCTTACCCTCGGAGGTCACTGATGGATTTCATCTTCCCAACTCACATGTACTTCACTTGCATTGATCCTGATGGTTCAGACATTTCCCTTCAGCATCACATGACAGACTTGCCAGCTCTCGCAATTTTACGGCAAGTCTCGTCAGATTTCGTGTTTTTCTGCCAGACCAAGGGGCAGGGCAAGGGAGTGATGTCCAAAGCTGCGAGCCCTCCCCTGAGAGCACCCTTCACCACGCGGCGAGTGTATGGATTCTGATCACGGATGGAACTAGCAAATGCAGAGACACGTGGGTTTTGGAAGGAATGTGGTCAGGTGGTCAGACCAAGATGTCAGGAGCCAGGACTCTTAGCTTCCAGCGCTGCCATTGATTCACTTTAAAAGTGTAAGCAAGTCATAGCCCCGCTCTGTGCCTCAGTTTCCCCAGCTGAAAAATGGGGATGTTTATAAAGCACATTGAGATCTTTTGGGGGGGGTATTGTAACAGTAGAGCATATGGGTTAGCCCATGTTAGCGCAAGACATTTATTAATTGTAATAAAGATAATAAAACTTCACTGGACTTTTTCAAATACAAGATAACATTCAGTTCACTTTGGGTTCTGGATGAAGATTAATGTTACTCCTTTTATCTGAACTGGTTTTCTTCCCCCTAAAGTAACCTCTCGTCCTTCTGAAAAAAACGTTTGCTACATATGACGCTTCTTTGTATGACACCTTCTCAGTTACGTTGCAGATTTCATCTTGTCCTTTGGTCCTTTTCTATTTCTTTTTGTTCTGTGTTTGTGCAGCACCTAACACAATGGGGTCAAGGTCCAGGAGCTGGGCTCCTAGGCACTACGATCATACAAATAAATAAATAATGTTAGATCCCAGAATAGACACTCTCATTCAGAATCAAAGTGGCCAAACTGAATTGAGGCCACTTTAATTCTGAATGAGCGACCACACATGGTTGTAATGTGGTTTAATCCATTTTACATTCACAGCTTTGGTGAATTCAGATTAATTTTCCCGAGTGTCCCCATGTAGACAAGGCCAAAGCCTGTTTCGCTGGAAATATCCGTCTGCTCATACCAACGCCACCTCTTGGAGCAGAATTGCTTCCTGCAGCTGCAGCAGAGTTGCCAGGCTCTGTTCTGTCGGACTGAAAGAACAGGAGAACTCTTTGGAGCCGCTCGGAGAGGCAGATGAGTGGCATTTGCTTGGCACCTCCACTACATCATCAAACATACAGGTTCAGACTTTGAAAATCAAGATTTGGGGAAAAAGGTTGTTCGTTTGTATCTCTTTCACCTGAGCCTGTGTGTGCTTGAGCGGCCAGCTGTGGTATATATTGTAGCCTACATACTCCACTGGTATTTGCATGTATGACAAACTCAAGCTGTGAAGCATTGTGTAGAACATCTCCCCTCCCCCAACGCAACCATGCTCCGAGTGTATTGAATTAAATGAGGACGTGCCATAAGTAAGGCAGTCTGCTGCTCCTCCCCTACAAGCTGCTGGCATATCTTGTGGTCTTCAGTTCTTTCAAAGCACAGATAAAAAAATGTATCCACTTCCCGTGCCCTAGAACAGACTAGGGGGTTAAAAGAAATCAACATTAGGGCAGCTTATATATAACTAAATAAATACATAAACTTGAGTGCAGGGCATGGATGCACCTTCTTTCATTGAAGTACTAAATAAAGTATCGTTTCACAAGTTTTTCAGCCACAATGGCAGTTCTCAGAAAGCCTGATCTTTATGTTACAGTGATGGACACAGTGACAGACAAACAGAAGTGATGGGGAAACCATCTCACCTGGCACAATGAACCCAAGTTTCTCAAGTCCATGGGCAGGGGAGTTGTTTAGTAAAACACACAGAATTCTAATCTAGCCTTTCTTCTGAAACATTCCCCAGATCTGCTGACAGCCGTGAATTTCCCCCCCCCCCCCGAACTCTACTTTAGTCAAGAATACAAGATGTTGTCAGCATTTTAACCACCATTGTCTCAACCTGCTTTGAACAGGTATGCAAAACATGGTTGTTAAAACACTTGCTGTTGGTCTGTGCTAGTGCTCTCACTATTGCTTTCACTATGGAGTTCCATCACCCTCACCAGAAGCGGGGCATATTTCAGTGCCCTAGAGTTACTAGGTACTGAATATAATATATCCGCTTCTCCAGTAAAGTAGTAGACCAGAAGTGCCATTGCTTATTGATCTCTTTGGATTATCGGAGAAGCAATTTTCAAAATTGGAACATACCACATTAGACTATTGTGGTCAGTCCAGTAATCCTGTCCTGCCTTTTATCATGCTTCCAACGGGGGCAAATGAAACCATAACAGTGCCTACCAACCTATGGAATTCACTGCCACAAAAGGAGATTGCGGAAATTATTGTGGCTGCAGATTACAAAAGGATGAGGGATTTTATGACCCGAAATGTCATTCCCTGGTACGCAGCTAGGATGAGGGGCATCACATGTCCTGTGATTCCCAAAGCGGCCAAGACACACACTGGGGCACAACTAGCTCGGCACACTGCTTATCCTCCTCTGAAGCATCATGCACTGGCCACTGCTGGAGGAAGAAGTTCATGTGCAAATTAAGTGTGAGCATGTGTCTGCCACATGCATCCATCCCTCTGCCCTTTCCCAGTCATGCAGCCCCAGCAGACTGCCCAGGCAGTCCTTCTGCCCCCCTTCAGTTCCCTCCACCTCACTCCTAACCAGCCCCTTCATCCCCCTGCTGCACTGGGGACCAGGTGGGAAACTTCCACTCCTCCACAAGCCTCCCAGTTGCCATGGAAACACTATCACGCGCTCCAATCCCAGCCCTCCCTAGCTCCTGAAAGGCTAAAGGGAGGGTGATTGAAAGGAGCCGGTGACGGCACAGATCTTGGGATAAACTGCCAGGCAGTGCAATCGCCCTCCCCGTGTCCTGCCTTGTCACCCCGCACAGCATAACCCCCCAAGCCCTGCAACCCGCCCCCCACATATGCATCGCAATCCCCTATCCACCCCTAGTAGTGCAACCCCCAGCTGCGCTGCAATCCCCTATGCGCCCTACTAGTGCAACCCCCATGTGCCCTGCAATCCCCTATGCACCCTAGTAGTACAACCCCCATGTGCCCTGCAATCCCCTTTGCACCCCTAGTACTGCAAACCCCCAGATGCGCTGCAATCCCCTATGCACCCCTAGTAGTGCAACCCCCATGTGCCCTGCAATCCCCTATGCACCCTAGTAGTGCAACCCCCAGATGCGCTGCAATCCCCTACGTACCCCTAGTACTGCAACCCCCAGATGCGCTGCAATCCCCTACGCAACCCCCTCTCCTACGCCCCCCCAACCACTGCACACCCATGCCCTACACTGCACTGCATATCCGTGCCAGTCCTCACGCCCCCCGCGCATTCGGTGTCCCCCCAGTGCAAGCCCCCCCGGCACACCCCGAGGCGGAGCGGCGCAGACCCTAACGCAGCTCGCCCCCGAGGCCGGGTGGGTGTCCGTGGGGGCGGCGGGGGAGGAGGGGTCCTGCTGCTAACGGGGTTCAGCATCCTCCGGCAGGGGGGAGGGGGCGAGTGACGTCAGCCGGGGCTGGCCCACGCGGGCTTGGGACCCGCTGCCCCGGGAGGCGGGCGGTGCAGAGCGGCCGGGGGAGCGCGCGGGCTGCACCGAGACCCTCCGCCCCTGCCGCCTGCCCCGGCAACTCCGCGGCCCTGCGAGCCCCGCCCAGCGAGCCCGCCCCCCCATGGGCTAGGCACCTGGCGAGCCTGTCCGCCGGCCGGCAGCGCCGGGCTCCCGCGAGCCGGAGACGCGGCTCAGGTGCACATGGGGCTGGCTGGTGCCTGGCGGGGGAAGCGCGGGGCTCCGGCGCTTGGCACAGCGACCTGACGGGAGCGGGACACCCCGGGCAGGAGAGCTCTGCCCCCGTCTCTCCGGCCCGCCCTCCCCCATGTGGGGCTCCGGCTAGACACCGCCCCGGTCTCTGCTCCCCTCTGCTGCCCGCGGGCAGGAGCCGGGGGTGCGCCTCACCCGAGCGGGGCTCGCCAGCGAGTCCGCCTGCCCCGCTTCGTTTCCCCCCGCGCCGTGTGAATCTCTGCAGCAGGGATGTCTCGGTACCCAGCCGCTGCCCCGCGTCCAGCCCGCTGACATGGAGTACTCCGCTCTGTAGCCTACCTTGCAAGCCAGGCAAAGAGAGCGCAGGAAGAAGCCACCGAAAACAACCCTCTTTTTGAACCTGTTGTGTAACCGTGGGGCGGCACGAATGGCTGGGGAGACGAAGATCTGATCCTAAAATATTTGAAACGTGACAATGTGGATAAAACAGCTTTTAGCAATCAGGTAAGAGGCGCGAGGGCACTTCCCCCCCCTGTTGATTTTTGATTCTCATGAGTTTGTGTAGCTGGGTTCCTGGGATCGCATTTTTAGACATTTTTCCCCCGTAGTTGGCGTGGATGGTACAAGATGAAATGACCTTTTGCTTCCTCCGTTTAGTTTTCGCCAGGCTAACGTCTGTAGGGCACTTTCTCTTGCAGAGTGCTGGTGAATCAATACATTGTAGAGAAATCGGTTTAGTTAAGGATTAGACCTGACACTGCCAACCATGGTCAGTAGTTACTTTTCAGCCGAAGTGTTGATCTGGTTTGCCCTATCCTTGGAACTTTAGTAGGACCAGATTCCGATATTGGGCTAGCGAGTATGAAAATGCAATGGTATGTGGAATCAGTGTATTTCAATCTATGCACCCATGTCCTTATATAGTTCTATATAGGCGCAGTCCACGCACCAAGAAAATACCTTCTTCAAGCATATTGAGGATGTCTTTACAAAAGTATGCATATACCCAGATATATAAAAACATTGCACAGAGGTTTTATCAACATGCTGATGGCTGCAGTGATGCTGACTGAAAAACTGCACTTGTTTAATTCGTGTGTCTGTATAACTATCTGTTTGTAAATAACCATGTATATACATACACATGTGAATATACTGCATAGGTTGTACAAATGTGTATGCAACAGTCTGTACGTACACATGGAAGCATATACACAGACATCTTTGTTTGATATATTTTTGTATTTGTATGTTTAATTAGAAGGAAACAGTGCATGAATAGAGCTGTATAATAAAATAACTCTAGCATGTAAGTATCTCCCTGTTCATCATCTTTTAAGAGGGGAAGAAGAAAACAATTCTTTCTCTTGCCTCTAAAGTGATACGTTGAAATAAATCATTGGGATTCAGATATTAATTTGATAAAAGGATTTCTGCATATAGGTATGCAGTATTTACACACATATATAAATTACAAGTGCTGATGAACATCAGACATGCTAAGGATAAGTGGTACCAGCTGTTCTGAAGGCTTAACTTCTGTGTGCAAGTATTTGTGTTCCTTGGAGAGTGAACGTTTTGATACTCTCTGTAGAGTGATGGGGGGAAATTGTGAAAGCAAATGTGTTTTTCTTATGTCTCTCCACTGGGATGCACTAGACTCTTGCTTTGGACAGAGAAAGAAAGGAAAAGGAACCAGATTTTATGAGCAAGCTCCCACCTCCGCTAAAATCTTTCCAAATCCAGTGAATGATGATAGAGATTCATTGCAAAGCTATGTGACTCAATAGTCTGTTTTGGGGGTTGTATGTGTGTGTGTGTGTGTGTGTGTTTGCATTAACCATTATTCTCAGACTGATATATGTGTAAGTCTGAGAGTAATGGTTATAATAGCACACTCTTTATAATGCAGAAGTAAAGTCCTAATCTTGTAAAATATTCCAGGAAGTTTCTATGTAAGAGTAGACATAGTTTGTTTATTATACCAAGATAGTATCAACCTGATGTAGGATTATGTAGGAGTTTTCCTGTCACTATGGAAGGACATAAAGTGCAGTGTTGCAGTGAACATTCCAATGAGCATATTTGGTAACATTTAGCAAATCTGTTTCACTGAACTGTACTAAATAAAGGCCGTTTCACACAGATTGTGTGAATCCAGACGGCTTGTCTACTTTCAGAGGAGTACTCATACAGACGCTAGTCTTTGTTCCAGACAAAATGGAAATGCTCATTCATTATGACTGATCCCCTATCAAATTTAGTGTCTAATTTGCTCAGTGCTTTGCCTTCTGCCTCTTGTTTTCTATGAACTCCCGAAGCAGTAATCAGAAAACTCGCAATGCTTCCAGGTGCTTCTTTAGTACAGTGAAAGGTATCATGTGATTACTGCTGGTAGGAAAGGAGGTAAGTAGACAGACAGACAGACAGATGGGTGCAAGTTTTAGATTAATCAAGAACTACAATTCAAGGGGAACAGAATCTAAGTGTTATGTAACACATTTCTATTACTGCTGCAAAGTCATCTGGCTGAAGTCTTGTTCTTACTATGATGCTGCATATAGGAAGCAAAAGCATAATTCTTTCTGCTGATGTTTGAATAATTAAAAGAATCATTATTTTTCTTTACTTTCATTGTGTTTTAGTGGGGTTAAATTTAAAGTGGCAATATAGAAAAAATGACCAGTGAAGAATACTACGTTGCTCTATGATTCCCAGCAAGACATGCCTAAGTGAAATTAAAGAGGATTGTACTATGATTTTGGTCAAATGGGTAAGGTAGAGTTTAAGTCATGAAAATAAGCTGTGACTGCTGTTTGGAAGAACGTTATTAATGTGAATGTTTTTATTTTCCTGGTGGGACAGTCATATAGCCTCTTCCAGGCTCTTGCTGTAGGGAGCTGTGGGTCCAAGTGTCTGCTGGACAGAGTTCTCTGCTCATTCCAGCTTGCTCCCCTTTGCATGATGGTTTGCTTTGCTGTGTAGCACCAGTACAAACCACTTATAAAATTGTGCTATGCAGCTGTCACCCTGCAATTGAAAACTGGGGGAGGAGGGCTGTGAGGCTGCTGAAATGGACAGGTTGAGATGAAGGTAGTGAACCATCCTAACCTAGCAGGGGCATTGATAACATGAGACAAGAGGTCTTTTCCATCACTTAGTCATTGTGTGTCTGCAGCACAGACCTGGTCTCATTAGGAACGGGGCTTTTTTTGTTGATGGTGAGCCTTGAGAGGCCAACAAAGTAGGCAGTGTGGACTGAATTTTGAGGGAGCTGTGTTTAGGATATCAGAGACCTTAAACATCTGATCCAAAGCCCTTTGATGCTAATGGGGGCTTTCCCACTGACTTCACTGGGTTTGGGACCAGGCCCTTAGAGAGAGAACTGTCCATTGACTTTTAATCAAGCTCTCGCTTAAGCTCTGGAGTATGGAGAGGTTTTATTGTTTATTTTTATATATTTTATATGATTTTCCCTGAGCTCTATTTCTTACTGTGAGGTTAATATATACACAGCCACCCCCTATATCTGGAGTGGTGACAGCCACGTGATTAATTCAAGAGCCAGGTGCCCAATAAATGTATCATGCACCTTTGACCGCATCCCCTGCCCTCTGCCCACAAGTCCGTCTTCCTGCACCTATTGTAACATCCCAGCCCTTCAAGCATCTTCAGGCTGTCACAATCAATCAGTGAGGGAGATGCTGTTTAGCAGCAAGGCTGAGGTCTTTAATGTGTCTGTGGTATGCAAATTGTGTCCACAATGACCCTATGGAATTACTGCTAGGTCAAGTATGAAAGCTATTTTTCATTGCTTCTCCCAACTTGAATTGACTAGAAGGTGAAGGCAAAAGTGAAGTAGGCAGGGTTGTGGTGTCAGGCTGGAATTTGCAGAAGACAATACTCATGGAAACATCGCAGACCTCTGCTCTTCAGTGGTTAAGCCTTAAACTGTCAACAGGAAAGCCCTGGCTATCACTTCCCTCTCCTGATCACTTTAGGGATTCCTTTGTTATTCCTCTGGAGTCCCACACAAATTTCCATCTCCTTGGAACTGTAGTCCCTGCTTGGCCTTATCAGCTCTCTCTCTCTGCCTCTGTTTTATTTTTAATAAGAGATAACAAGTAACTTTACTCCTAACCTTTTCTGCTGCTGTAGCCTTTCTCGCCAGCTTCCGCTTCAACTCTAATTATGTTCTGGCTTTATTTCTGACCTTTCCCCTGTAATTTTTCTCATTTTCCTTGAAGAGCCACTAGGGAAGCAACATCAAAAAAAGCAAAAGACCCTTCCAGCTCCCAGCTCACCCCAGCACCTTCTCCCCGTCTAGGCCCCGATGACTGAGAGGGATGTTTCTCTGGTCCCCCAATAAACTGATATCTCCTGCTCCAAGGGCAAAGCTGCAGGGTCTGCAGCAGCAGTTGACAGCTTGGAGACCAGTTGTGCTCCTAAAGCAAGTAGGAACAAGACTAACTCCTAGACTTTTAACTCTAGTTCATCTTCAGTTCTAGCTTCTCCATTTTTTAAAATGGGAACTTTCCACTTCCAAAATTCTTCTGGGGAGAGAGAGTGAGTGATCCTCAAGACACCCAATCTCTTTTAACAATTTTCTAATTTCCCCCCAGCCACTGAGAGCTTCCATTAATAGTTGTTATCCTGACCAGCTCTGCAACTACCCTGATCCATCCCATCCCACTCAGAGACATGATCTATAGTGCCATGTCCAGAAATGAGATTGTCCTATGGTAAATTGGACTGCAGCTATGTATGTATAAACCCAACAAAATTGGGGTTTCACATATTAGCTCTTTTTTCTTTTAGCTGTAGCTGTGAACGTTCCTTCTTTGGGTGGAAATTGGGTATTTTAAACAATATTGCATAGTCTTTACAGCATTTTCAGATCAAAACCTATTGGTGGTATAAATAAACATGTTGCCTGCAGTTTCCCTTTGGTTACGTAAAACAAGCCCCTAAAAACATATAACCTGGCATATTTGTGTTGAGATAACTTTATGGGCACTATAGTTAGTGCTGAAACAAAAAGTTAATGTGCATTTCTCACATCAAGTTCACATAGATTCAGCCAGCCATCAAAGATGTGAACCTTGCATGCTCAGTGCTAGTGTGAATACCAAATATCGGGAGTTAATGGTTTCCACTAAAGAGGTCTTCACTTCTAGTAAATCCATGCTGTGTCTGAGTCCCAGCAAGCTGTTGCTGGATGAATTGATTGCCACAGAAATTCATCTAGTGTCAGCGACTATGATAGTTATCAGCTACAATAATACTTGAATAAACTGCACTTTTATGCAGCAGTTCATACCTTGTAACAGGCAGCAATTTCACAGATGAGAAAAAGGGAGATGTGCTGATATTAACACCCCTCTTCCTGATGGTATGAATAATTGTTGTAATAATATTGGAATCATCACAGGATTGCCTTTTATTGTGTGTATTCAACAGAGTGATAGCTGGGAAGCCGGCTGAGTCACTGAGCAGGAACCTCA